AAACCTGCAAAAAATTTGGGATTCACAGTGAAAGAGAGTGTGGCGCGCGTGGTGACGGCACGTGTAGAGCGTGGCTGCCAGTGTAGCCACCTTATGGCGGCGTGTGTGAGGGCGCGTGGAGGAACCCAAGATCCCTCCATAGGTTTCTCAACGTGCAGGGACCTGAATCTGTTCTCTGCTTTCCAAAATTCGACCGTTTTAAAATAGTTCCTTTATTAGCCGTACTTTGTACGAAAACGAGTTTGTACGATAGTTGTAAGTTACGTATTTACATAAATGGTTTCGTTTATAGGCGAAATGCATTGAAAGGACTCGTTACTACGAGGCGGGTTCGACTCGATGACATGAATTGTGAGTGGGTCTTTTCTTTGATATATACATATATATGTTTAGTTTCCCTATATACATTTAATAATGAAGTTTGTATATGAATGCCGTAGTTAAATTAATATTTATTGAAAATGATGTAACAAAGAGAATTAGGTAATCATCATAAATCTTATGGGATGCCATAATTATATTTACAGCTGTGAATGATATTATGTTGACTAGAATTATCAAATCACTATGGTATGACTATATTTATGTTATCTACTCATCGTTTGCTACACCGGTGTTAGTACTCGCCCAGGCCAGGGCCAATCTTTCAAGTGTATGCGAACATCACACTGTACGCTCACTTTGGATTCATTGTAGGTGCCAATCCTGTCCTAGATTTCTATAGGAAATTAGGACTCATATGTCGCATAGCACTAGTCTTCACGTGATTGTAGTACTAGAGTGTATATCATTGTTACACTCAGTCATGTTCATGTCAGAATATCTCTGCATGAACTCATGTGTTAGCATGTGTCGATGAATACTCAATATGATATGTTTGCTTATGCGAGATTATGTGATTACGGACATCTTACGAAATATTATGCCGTATTGAATTCTTGAGATTTGGTAGGAAATGGTAAGTATTTTCTTACTATACATAGTATGTATATTTTGGAAACTATACTAATTTTACGGCGAAGGGTTATTATGTTTTTGAAAAGGTTTTTACAAAGCTTTGTTTTTAGGCCCACTCAACCTTATTTTTTGCCCCTCCAAGTTTAGCAGCTGAACTTTCGTATCGACGAGGATTCTTGGCAAATATGGTTTTGGAGACTACCTCCGATGGTATAATTCTCAATCCACTTTACTGTACTGTACTTATGCTCTGACATCACGTGTGATATAGGTTCATTCCTGCTCACTAGTGCACTCTTATACTTAGGCACTTTTAGGTTTAAATTTATTCATATTTTCCACATCACTACTCTTTATGACTTCGTCACCTTCCTGGTGTCGGCCAACACAACTCGATTCGAAGTCCTAGTGGACATTCAGGGTCGGGGGGTGTCACTACTACATTTCAAGCCTTATCGAGAAATTTCATATTCAATGAGCTGGAAAATGAGGCTAGATCCACCACTGGAGCTAGCAACTTCCTTTTTTGGGTACTATAAAATTGGGCTACATCTAGCCCCAAAAAACAGTAGGTCCCACACAAAGTAGCAACCTATGTAAACAAAATTCTATCACTCTTCATTCACTTGCGAATACACTATACTCTCCTTTTATTCTTTATTTTTTAATTCTTTTTTCTTACTTATTTTTCTTGCAATTTGGCTAATTAATGATTGTTTTAAATTCCATAAGAATTTAAATTCAAATTGATTTAATGTTCATAGGCATCGGTGGGGGAAATTTTCAAATATTTTTTCTCAAAATTGTATGATACTAATTTACCAATTGATGCTACGTAAATTGTTGTGTTGTACATGAAAATCAAATTATTTCAGAGAGCAAAGTAGGGATTTGCTTCTTTCAACGGATGAGATTGAGATCAGAAAATTTAATCCAACAAATGATTCATAAGTGATGAAATCTAACTTTGTCACAATTTGAACTTTTTGGGTTGAAAGGTTCAAAAAAAAAAAAATTAGGATAGCATGTCCAAAAATCAACTTAAAAGAAGCTAACACACACACACACACAAAAAAAAAAAATATATATATATATATATATATATCATCGCTTAATGAAATTACTACATAAATAAATATATATAGCCTTATATAGAGCCCGAAAGAATAACCCCTCATTAGGAGAGATTCTTTTATAAAGCCTCAAAAAATTCCTCGAAGCTCCAAAGTGGGCTATATCCACCACTTTTCTAGCTCTATATAGAGGCCCCTCAATGTGAATTTGGTCTTCAAATCATATTGTGATTCTACATTAAGTTTACACAATCACATTAATTCCTAATTAATAATTTCATTCACAACACTCCCCCTTGAGTGTGTACAATTTAAGGAGTAGTCGCACCTAGTCTTCTTGATAGGTAGAATAATTGCTAACACAAATCTCATAGTCAGGCACTTATTAAAAGAAAAATCTCACAAAAAGCCTTGCTACTGTAATCTAGCAAACTTAGGGAGAAAAGGTGAGTAAATGCAGGATGTCAATATATCACATTTTCAAGATGATCATCAATAGAGAAGGCTACCTCGTCAGGTTAGCAAAGATTCAGTAGCTCTTGATTGTAAGGAAATAGTACATTAAAGTCATGTGAATATACTATAGGATGCTCCCCCTGACTTAAAAAAAAAAAAAAAACAAAAACAAAAACAAAAAAAAACAAAAAAAAAAAACTCCCCAGAAAAACTATCAGTGACGCAAATTTGAAAATTTATGCAATCGAATTTCATGAACATACTTCTAAAAAGTAGATTTCGGTAGTGACTTCGTGAATAGGTCAATAAGATTGTCCAGGGATCAGATTTGCTTAACTTTGGGGGAATATACTTGGTATTGTTGCCTTTGATGTATCTTTTTTTTAACTAGTCTATACATGAAACGTTTTTGGAACATCAACGATGGAATAAAAACTATGTGAGGTTCTTATATGGTCAATCACGTCCCATATCCATAAACATTCACGTGATGCTTTGTTCAGGGCTAGAATCTCAGGGTGATTTAAAGGCATAGCAACCAACTCTTGTTTCATTGATCTCTAATATATTGCAGTATCTCCAATTGTAAAGACATAATTAGTTTGAGAGCGTGACTTGTGCATGTTAGATAAATAAACAACATCAATATAACCAACAAGGTAAACATCATTGAAAGTTTTTTTTTTGGGGGGGGGGGGGGGAGGGGGAGGGGAGGGGTGATGTGATGAGAGATGTGTAGGGATAAAATAAGCTCATATACATTGTACCCTTAAGGTAACACATGATGTTGTTAACATCTGTCTAGTGTTTACGTGTAAGTGCATTGCCGTATCCAGTCTAGTATATTGAGACAAGTACAATAAAGCGCCGATAGCATTTAGGTAAGGAACTTCAGGTTCCAAGACCTCTTCATTCTCATTTTTAGGATGGAATTGGTCACTTTTTGCATCCAGAGTTTGAACGATCATATAGTAACAGAAGACTTCGCTTTATCCTCGTTAAAGAAACGCAACACCTTTTAGGTGTAGCTCGGTTGGTGGACCAGGATACTATCCGAACAATGCTCTATCTAGGCCAAGACAATATCGATCTATTTGTAAATATTTCATCTCAAGTTCAAACTTTAGTGTGAGGTAGTTTTCTCAAGCTTCTCCGGACTCCCAAGGAGATTCATGTCATCGATATTGCAATAATAATTGAATCCCACCACACCCTACTATTGGCAAAACCACCATACCTACACAATTGCTGCTACACCACCACGACCACCATCCTTGCCACCACGGTCGCCAACACCCCCATTATCATGTCCATTTTTATCTTTATATACAATTATATGACTTTAAATTTACCAAACACCTTTGCACTATTTTATAATCACAACACATTTAAAAATACAGTTTATCAAATGTTCAACTGTTTTATTTTACAGCTGATCACTCTTAGAGCACAACAGAAGCAAAAAATATATATATATATATATATATATATTTAAAGCACTGCAATCCCAAATTGACCCTAACTCCTTATGATTGAGTCGACATATGCATTTTCTCAAGATAAACTTCAATGTGATTGCTATAAAAGAGATCATTTGTTTATATTTTGAAGCAACAGTTTTTTAACACAGAAACATCATAGAATGGAAGAGCCACTCTTACCATTAGATCGGAAAATACTTGGCTCTTTAAACTAGCTTTTTTATTATTATTATTTTGTTTATGAAATCCAAGTCGAAATACCATTAAAACCAGGATAGAAGGCATAAGGCCAAGTCAACAAACGCGCAATATTCAAACGAAACCAAGCACAAATAGACTCCTCATCCCCCGTGTTAAACATTAAAAAAAAAAGCAATAATATAGACTAGGATTGCAACACGCATTCTGCTTGGAGCTTTCTATGCCAATTACTTAGCACTTGGCCTCCTTCAAACCATGGGCTTAAGTAGATAAACATTGGGTCGGTCGCACCCTCCTTGTTGTAGGCAAAAGACCAAACCCCCACCATCATGCATGCATGCTCTCCCCAGCAAAGAATTGGAGGTCGCTGAGCTTCCCAAGCATTTCCTTCTTACACAAATTAAATTGACACGTAAGTATAAACTTTCTTTTCTTGATGACGTTAGCAAGTCACCTTAGTATAATCGTTAACTTGTGATTTGCAGTTAAGGAGAAATAATTCCGTAACTGTTACGCAACCAATCAGCACGTACAATTGAGTTGACAACACTAGTACTTTGACGACTGATCCGACCATGGAATAAGTCATAGCAGACCAAGTTTAAGTTATCTCTTAATCTCAGTCATCAGTCATCAAAACTTAGTCATACTTCACAGTTGGTCGAGGGAAGACGTTGGGAAAAAATGACCACAAATTTTCAAATCCAAAAAAAGACAGATTCCAAGTCCATGCATGTACAGTCAGTCTACTTTTACCTAGATCTTGGCAGACAAATATTCCTTGGAGATACTTGACTATCGCATACCTTGAAGATGCCTAGAACTTTGCAATGAATGTTTTTAAGGGGAAAGGACTCGAAAACTCTAATGTGCGGTCAAAGATTCAATAAAACAAGAATTCAACGGCCAAAGATTTCGGTGCACACTATACATATTACAAACATCTCTATATGACATCATTGAGTCCTTTTATATTTCTATTTTTGCGAATTTTCCAATATGTACGTGGCAAATTTCCAAAGAAGTTGCCAGTTTTCTTGTGTATATAGGCATGGCACAACATAACTGAATTTAGCACTTGTCCCCTCATCAAATCATAGCCTAAAGAACAGAAGAGTAAGAGTTTTCGAAGTTTAGTTCGAAGCACCAGATGGATCCGAGGCTTTTAGAGTCAATTACCAGCAACAATGTACCTGCATTTATCGCCTTAGTTAGCGAAAATGAAGGACTTGTTGAGCAAAGAACAGCTGATGATTCCTTGAACACGGTTTTACACATTGCTACTAAGTTCGGATGCATTGACATTGTGTCCGAAATTGTTAAGTTGTGTCCTGAAATGGTTGCTGCGGCAAACAAACTCCTAGAGACTTCGGTGCATGAAGCTTGTCGCCTGGGAAATGCTAGCGTCTTAAAGCTACTCTTAGAAGCCAATCCCCGGGCAGCCTGTAAGCTTAACTCCGACAAGAGGAGTGCTGCCTTTGTAGCTTGCAGGCTTGGCCATTTTGATGTGGTAAATCTCTTATTGAATCAGTCCGGGCTTGAAGGCTTAGAGGACGTTGGAATTGACGAAACATGTATTCATATCGCTGCATCCAGCGGACACACAGGTAGTGAGCAAATTTCAATTTGACGAACGTACAGATTCCTACATATCCTAGAATTTGTTACGCAATATATTTGTGAGTTTTCCAAGTCATGTTCCGATGGTGCAGATATTGTTCGAGGGATCCTAGACATGTCCTCCGACTATGCTCAAAAGACCGATGCGAATGGAAATTCACCGTTGCACTACGCTTGTAGCAAAGGGCACAGGGAGATAACTTGGATGCTCCTGCAGCGAGATGTGAATCTGGCATTGCAGTATAACAACAACGGTTACACGCCTTTGCATTTGGCAGCAATGCGTGGAAATATTTCAGTCCTTGAAGACTTTGCATTGAAGACTCCTGCAGCTTTCCACTATCTGACTAAAGAAGAAGAGACGCTATTTCATCTGACCGTGCGATATGGAAAATTTGAAGCTTTGTTATTCTTGATGCATGTCGCTAACAGCTTCAATCTATTTCAGTGTCAAGATCGGTATGGAAACAGCATTTTACATCTTGCAGTTTCTGGCGGGCATTATGAGGTGAGGAATGAATGAAAATTATCATTTGAAGTTTCAAGCAAAAGCTTACCATGATTTTTAACTATAATTTTTATGTCAAGTTCTTCCAGATTGCTGAGTACTTGATCAACAAAGCAAAAGTGGAGATCAATTCACGAAACTGCAAAGGACTTACGGCGTTTGACATCCTCAACCAGGCCAAGGACAGTGTAGGCGCTCAAAATCTTCAAACCATATTCCATAAAGCTGGTGGTGAAAAAAGTACTAACATGACAGCTTGTTCACCAGAAACATTGTCTTCAATGCAGAGTTACCTATTCGAATCAGGTATGTCTAATGCAAACGAAAATGGTATTCTCCCCTCTTTGCCAGAAATCACCTACACTCCGCAAGAGGATCAATACAGGTCTAAAATGTCATCGCTCAGTAATCATGTTCATGAGAGATTTGAGAAGGTAGCATACAAACTGGAGTCTTCATCCCCAACCAATTCACGTCAACGCAAGCCTTCCAGCAAAAGGCAATGTGAATACCGTAAGGAGCATAAGATATACAGAGAGGCGATACAAAATGCTAGGAACACTATAACGCTAGTTGCGATTCTGATTGCAACAGTTGCTTTTACTGCTGGAATTAGCCCTCCTGGCGGTGTCCATCAGGACGGAACAATGAAAGGGAAAGCAGTGGCAGGCAGAACAACAGCTTTCAAGGTCTTTGCAATAAGCAATGACGTTGCGCTCTTCACGTCACTCTCTATAGTTGTTGTTCTTGTCAGTATCATCCCCTATCGAAGAAAACCGCAGATGATGTTGCTGGTGGTTGCTCACAAGGTCATGTGGGTATCTGTGGCATTCATGGCGACTGCGTATGTTGCAGCAACATGGGTGATAATGCCACGCAACCACGGTACAGCATTTGTCCTGGTGACGCTACTAGCAGTTGGTGGCGGCACTCTTGGGACAATCTTCGTCGGTCTTGGAGTGATGCTGGTTGATCATTGGCTTAGAAAGTTGAATTGGAGGAAATTGAAAATGGGAATATGGAGATCTGCAGATGGAGTGGAAAGCCAAAATTCTGATGTTGAAAGCTCCTTCCATCAAGGATATCACTCCTACTGAATGTTTGCGATGGGATTAAAAGCACACTACAAAGTAGCGCATAAATGTCCTATTAATTTTCATTATTCACGCTAAGATTTGTCAATTGTAGCATATGAAAATGGGTTTTTCCCGCAAAAAAACTGTCTTATCTAATTACTCAATAGCTGCTGAAAAATAATTACTAAACTGACTTACACTCATCTAAATTCAATAAAATTTTATATGCAGACAGTAAACACATAGAGGTGCACTCACACATTAAGAAAAACGAGTTAGGGGATTCCTTTCAGCATTTTATGAGTTGATTTGGTATTTTAATTAAATCCAATAAAAATAGGACAACAAAGAAGAAAAAAAAATAATGAAAACATATTTTAGTTCCCAAATTAAGAAAAACGAGTTAGGGGATTGTTATCCACCACCAAATAATCATCCAAACATGTTATGTTTCATTCAAATTTCTTTGTTTCCAGAAGAAGATAATCAGGTTGGTTCAATGTTAGAACATAACTTATTACTCTTTCTACGTAGCATGTTAAGATAATGGTGTTTTTAGCTTCACATAGTTCCTAGTATGCAATCTAGAAGGCAAGTTCATAAATTTAATAAGTAGAAATCATTAAGCATTAAAATAGTTTGAGTCATCACTAGGCATCGTAAGGATTCGTGTTGTCTTACTTATCCTAGAAATTGATTCACATGTTACTCTTAATTAACAAGTAATGCTCTAGAACATATATAGGTCATCATTCAATAAGGACAGACACACACATGTTCATAGCATTAAAATCCTAAATATGCTTATCAAGTATGCATCCATAGAAAACACATAAATAATTCTTTTTTTTTCCTAAAAAAATGGACAAGCTGGTGGTTTCGCCAAGGCAATCCACCCTTCTGTACATAAAGAATTCATCACTGACATAGGTAGTGAACAAATTTGCAATGTATTTGGGGCTTCAAAATAGCCCCTAACCGCTGGAAATTTATCTACACATAATTCCTAAATTAAACCAAAAGAAAGACATGAGTTTGAGAAAACAAAACCGAAAAAAGAGAATGATGTCTCTACTCCTATGGTTCCCCTCTTTGCTCCCTCTCCTTCTTTTCTTTTCTTTTCTTCCTTCTTTTCAACTTTGGGTCTCTTTTTTTATAACCTTTAAATGCGTTATGGGATTACAAGCATCATGGGAATTCAATCCCAATTAAAGCCAATTAGTGTTGAGGCTTTTGGGTATTTTGGCTGCATCAGTTTTGGCCGCTAGAATTTATCGTGTTTTATGCTTTTTTTTGTCAGTTAAAAACTGCTTAGCCTTTTAAGAACCTTTTAGTAGTAAAACCGGCGTAATTTCTTCTAGAAAAATGATAATAACAAGCCTTAAAATGCTCCAAAAATAGACATCCGTAGCTTTCCAAACATATAAGGCTCATTCTCTGATTCATTCTGAGTTGTCCGCAACTCGCTATCAAAGTCAGTTATTCTGCATGCATAGGCAGTTTTGACGAATTTGCTATTTAAAATCCACTTGTGTTCTTTTTCTCTTCTTTAGTTGAAAAATCCTACAAAACACAAAAATAAAGTAAATAGCTCGAAGATATATGGAGCTAACTAAGAAAAGACCAATGAATTTGATGTAAAATATGCATAAGTATAAGCTTATCAAATACCTTCACACTTAACTTTTGCCAATCCTCAAGCAAAACAAAGAAACATTAAACTAATCTTGACTCAATATTTTTCCTGGGAGAACCAATCTTGAATGACTTCGAATTGTCCAAGTGCCATAGAACTCCCAAAGCAGTACTCAAACCATAATGGTTGATAGTGAACAATTGATCCAAGCAATAAATTACAAGCTCAATTGAACCATTAAGAAACTTGGCATAAACTCACATATTAATACGCTCATTTTCACACAAGTGTTTATGGCTAAATATTTACACTCAAAGAATCAAACGTGAAAGATGTACCATAAGCTTGCAAAAAGTTCTCATCTCCAATCATAATTGCAAAACTTAATCAAGAGGAATTTTATTGGATGTAATGAGGCTGGGGAAGAGGGTTACCCTAATGAAAAGATACGTAAGCATAAGTTCCAAGCTAATGAGGCTGAGGAGGGTTACCAAAATGAAAAGATAGGTAAACATAAATTCCAAGCTACAGTACAAGCAATTCTCTTGTTGAGATTTACAAGAACTTAAGCTTTACAAGTACTTTACTAATATTACTCTCCAACCACGCCCCTAAACTAAAACTTTAAAAACTTTTTATTTGCTTTGTTTACAGTTCCTCTTTTCTCTTTTTTATTTCTTTTTTGAATTTTTTTTTGAATTTTGCACAAAACTAAATACAAACATGAATAGCCCCATGCTTATTCACTTGCTAAATACCACAAGCATTTCTCATTAGACAATCTCATATTGCTTACTAACTAGCTTGAAAAGGGTAAGGAAAAGTGTTTAAGGTAGAAGGGTGAGGCACATATGGTGATAAGAAATGAAAGACTCAACATATATAGCTCAAATTGGCAATCTAATGGTATCATTGTTCATTAGGAAACATGCTTATTGGGCCATGGTGACAATCCTAATGCCTCTATAATATTCAAGTTCACGCAATCAAATGACAAACATTTCGAAAGATCTTTATGCGAGTTTTAGATATCTTCACATAAGTTCATCACATATGAAAGAATAGGAGTGTATGAAAAAAGCACATACTAATAGGCTAAAAAGCTGACATAGAATGCAGGCTTATCAAAAGTTTAATCAAGCTTAATTTCAGTCACGATCACATTTTCAAGTTAAAGAATATGCTATGTGTCACTCAAGGATATTGCAACAGTGTTCAGGGCAATGTCATTGTATCATGGGAGGTTTAACAAAATACTCTCAGTACTGTTCACTTTTAACGAAAAACCACATTTATACCTTTACGTGGTACTATTCACTATATCTTTAAAAAGGGCTTTTCATAAAAAGAGAAGTTTTTTTGAACTTTTCGTTAAGTTTCCCTTGTATATCATATCCTATGTGTCACTGAAGGACATCCATCAAGTGACAACTAATTACTAATATAACTCAAGCACAAACGCTTCTCAGTTTTCATTTTGTTCAGAGGTCATACGACTCCATGCTTCCTAAATTTGATGTTGGATTTTAGGCAATCATGATATTGTGACGACGATTTCTGGTTTTCACTAGAAAAAAGTTGCTGGTTTTGAGTATGATAGACGTCAGGCCCATTATCTAAAGGGGTCCTCATTTTTGGATAAAAATGGGACTAGTTGTACAGGCTATTTCAAGTCGAACTTCAACGATCCGAAATATTTATTTTGTAAGTTTTGATTCATAGATCATCCTTGTAAAAATTCAATTCAATCCGAAAACATTTGCTCATTTGATTATCACGATGAAATTTCATTGGTTCTTATAAAACAAAGTGCTCGTCAATTTCTTTGAACTCATTTAGATATCTCAAATATTTCCGATTTGACTAATATTTTGCAAAGATGATTTTTGAGATGCAACTTGAAAAATAGACTGTTTGGATTATCAAAATTCGATGTGGCGTGAACCTCACAACTAATCCTCATTTAAAAAAAAAAAAAATGAAAATCACTTCCCTTAAAAGCCTCCTGATAGATGCACATTTATTGGTATTGTGAGGACAATTGTTTTGATGGTTGGCTTTGCATGGTACAAACCTTGGAACAACCGTCGTTCGATCCTTAAGACCGACCATAGTTCGGATTGGTTCGGAAGTTTAGGGATCGATCAAAGTCCAGTTTACGGGTTGAGAAGCTATACCACGTACCGTGCTGCTGCAACAAATTTGTGAATTTTGACTTTTTAACATTCATTTTATATCCATCGGGAAGCAGGAAGCAACCACTTCCATTGGTTTGCAACTTTGCATGTAATAAGTTAAACCACTTGTTAATACATCAACGGCAAATCACAAAGTATATTTTCCCTCAAAATGCTGGCGTGAAAAAAAAAATGATTTAGCGATACGACACCTCTTTCACGTTTTAACTGAAAAATTTAACCAACAATTACATTTTCTTACCACAAAATTCTACATACCAAACATTAAATCCATGACTTTGGACACCAATGACTTTGCTGGGGAAGCAATTGCACCTCCAGATTTCTGCGCACTGGTATTACCGTTTTGAAGATAGTAAGGACGAGGGGGGGCTCTTGAAGCATTCACCTCTGCATGTTTCATGGACGGTTGAGGGGGAAATGTCATGAAACCCTGATTGTTGACCCTTTCATTTAATGCATGGCGTTGCATTGGATCCAGCGGCTTCACGCCTATAATTAGTGCCCCGTTAATTTGCATCCCATTCTTGCTGAGAGCCTTCTGAGCATCAGAGTAACTCTGCACCACCAGCAAAGTGAATGGTTAACAATTTTCAATAGCAGTTGCATTCTTGTAGGATACCTAGCCAAACTGAGCAAACGGAGAGTAGAAAGATGGAATACAGGTAAGTCTTTGGCAACCAAAACACACAGACAAACATGGTCTACATCCATTTCCCCTCATATACGCACGGCGCACACATTATGGTGTTACAAATTCCTTCCATGCCATAAGCCAACAGCAGTAGCAAATAATTATATTGTGATCCTGTGATTACTTCCTTAAACATAAGTATTACTGATAATCTTAATCAATATTATGCCTCCGTGAGGCTATGTCTGCAACCAAGGCCAATAAGTGATCCTACTTTTGACATACATGGCAGCATCCCACCAATAATAAAGCCCAACTTTAAGCAGAAGTGATGCACAGTGCCATTATTATATTTGACAGAAACAAATCATACATTTTACAAGTAAAACATCTTTCATAACACATAGCAAAAGATAAGTCATAAAAACAAACTCAGCTATTTCCAGCTGCTCAAAATTTTTAATTTATATCAAAGTCTTGGTTAGTTTTAATCCCAATTTCAAGGGCATTTTTTATAGAGACTCAATGAGTTTGACTCGCAAACTCTCCAATTGACAAATTCATGGTAACATTACCAGTTCAAAGAGGTGAAGAAATGAAGAGAAGATCAATGCTTGATATAAGAAATTTGATTTATCAAACTCAAAATAATGGAGAAAAAAGAACCTGATATAGAATGTGCATCCAGTTGGCATCTCTTGGACCAGGAACATGTTTCAAAATCACTCCACATTTTTCAAACTCTCGTAAGACTAAATTTGTATTAGCTGGAGAGAATCTGGAAGAAAAAATAAGAACTACCATCAGAAGCCTATAATGTAGATAGCTGAGCAAAAATTACATTGTAATTACTCAATAAGTTAGACAAGCAAGCCATAACTTTAGAGATTGAAGACTTGAAGACCAAGTACAACCAAATAAGCTTCAATCAGTTGAACGACTGACCTAAAAAGTTGGAGAGAGCTATGTGATAAAACAATACAATAAAGTGTTCTACGTGTTCCCAACATTTTTCTTTAGAGTACATAACAAAACATTTCCATGGTCCTTAAAACTGTGAACTAGAAGCTCAGTATAGCAATTCACAAAAATTAACTTCTATTCAACAGACATGCATAGAAAATATCAAACACCATTATATCCAATAATTTACACAACATTTTACTGTTAACTAGTTGACCCTTTTTTGAGTTTCCTTTAGGGATATCTATTTCTGTGAATGATAGAACATGCTACCAAAGAATGAGATTCTTTTACTAAGTTGTGTCTTACCCCTAAGTTCTAACAGTTGATTACCAAACAAGATCTCCCTTTTTTATTGTGCAAGGTCAATAAATTCTAAGTAATGAAGTAGCTACGAGGAGCAGAGACTTGGAAAAGGGTTTGTGGTTTGACAGACAACTTGTTCACCAGTAAGTAGCTAAGAAAGACATTTATGAATGCAGAATACTTCATTATGACAAATATCTGAAATTTCTCATAATATTTCAAACTTACAATCACATTTGACCAGGAATACATCCAAACGATCACTGACCACTTCAAGTTTAAAATGCATTGTAGTGGGATATTTGATTCATGCATATTGGGAACCTCCAATAACTGGGAAACCAGGATAATTTTTTTAAAGAAAACTCTTTCCTTGGCACAACAACCACATGGAAATAAGGCCAGAGCCTTCTCATTTCCTCCTCAACTCATAATGGCAACAGCTGAAGTCAATAAGATGAACTACTAGAATATGATGATACATAACCAAATGGCATTAACAGGAGTAACAACTAACAAGTACATAGTTGATCAAAAAAAGGTACAGTACATAAACATAAGAAAATATGCCACATTGAAAGCATCACACGTGGTTTTTCCTCAATGATTTCTGTATCACTTTTAGGACAGAATTAGGCATCTCAATTAGTAATATGCAAATCAATAGACAATACAAGCAAATGGATGTTGTGGATACGGTAATTGCCACAGGTAGACTTTAGCCAAGTATTATATGAACAAAAGATGAATGCATCTATGTATGCCCAAGAACAGTCACACAAGTAAGGTTAAAGAATTACCCGTAAACAGTTACCCATTCTTCTTCGTTGATGTTCCCTGTAGGCAAGGTATTCCTTTGCATCTCTGGCCTTGCAACTTCCCTTGGAGGTGGAAGAGTGATCAGAGCAAGAGGCTGAACAACACCCTCCACTGGTGAATTCTTTCCCTTCTCTTCTTGCTCACCACCACTCTTCGAGGGTGACCACCAACTCATACTCACTGAACCCTGTTGGCCATGCTGTCCATTTGATAGAGCATACAAAGTGCTTGCCTCTGATTTTCCCTTCACTGGAGTCGAGGAATCACGTCCAAAACTGTGCACCGGAGTTCTAGGATCCGACTTGATTTCTGGGGATAATGGGTAATCTGGAATTCCGGATTCAGGGGAGAAGTCCAAGCGGTCTTCCAACGTGTAAAGCGGAGGTGGTGGAAGGTTCGATCCTCCACCACTCTCGCGCCATAGAGTAGAGACCGCAGCTGCCTGGCCTGGAGTTGAATTTTTTCCTCTCCTGGACGATACAGGTGAAGCTAAATCTTGGAAAAACAATGACTGCCTACTGGATTTGGGAGTTCTATGTACTGTGGTGCTCATCCTACCTCTATCTTTAAGAATCAACCTTTGAAAAATCCATAAGAAATTCCCAATTATTATTTGTTTTCCTTCTCTGCAATTTTTCTCAGCAAGCAAAGGATAACATAAGATAAACCAGAAATATGAAAGATCAAACATTGAACTATCAATAAAATGGGGAAAATGTTTTATTCGCTTGATTAAAACCAACCTATCTCTAAATTCATCACATTCGACCGAAAATTTTGAAAAACGGGATTCGGTTTTCTCCGCTTGGTTGCTGAGAAGCCAAGGAAACTTAATTCAATTACCCAATACAAAAGATGAAATCGACGAAGTTAAACGCACATATGTGCAGCAATCTAAGTCGAGAGCTTAGAGAGATATATATATAGAAAGAGATTACCTGGGAATTGGGGGAACAAGGCACCTGAGATCTCCGATTAGGGATTTGAAGTAGCCAAGTAGGAGGGAATTAATTGAGCTTCCCACCCCCACAGACTGAAGAGCGAGAGTGTTTGAGAGCGCAGAGCTGCTCGAAATTCGAATAGAAGCGATTTGAAACCCTAAACCCTCGCCAGCGAGAAATTCAAATTGGTGCTCTTTGGACGATCGTTGTACATTTTTCCAAATGACGATTCTATCCTCGTCCCGCTCCGAAAATTTTATCTCTCAATTACGTAACGGTAATGAGAATTAAAAAAATTGAATTCCGATTATGCGGTAAGATTACAAGATATGAATCAAACTTTTGATGGAATCCACATAAATTTTGAATCCAACTCCAAAATTTGGAGGAGTAGGACTTTCTATAACTTGATGGTCTTTGAAACATGGGTTGTTAGGGTTCAGAATGAACTTTTTCTAACTATTATACCCTCATTTGTTTCTAAAATTCCAAAATTGCCCCACATATTAACCCTTCAAAACCGTAGGGCTATCTCATTTTCTCTTCAGACGCATCTCTAAATTTACTAACTTTCTCTTCAGACCCATCTCTCAATTTACAAAGAGGTGAAACTCCCTTGTCTTTTGCATTTTCATCCCTATCTTTATTTTTTTGTTTTGGTAAAAATCATCGTTGAAAAGGATTTCATGATAGAGTGATTGCTTTTCTAAAAAAAACATGCAAGAACTCATTATTTGTAAATAAACACGTGAATAGGAATTATACTCATTCTTTATAAATAAACATGTCCCAAAACTATAATTAAAGTAGGGCATTAAACTAATTATATTGAATTAAGTACCAAAAAGCTCTCAACTTTTTGGTGTGATTCCAAATGAGTCCAAACCTTTTCAAAACATTCCAAAAGAGTATCCAACATATAAGAAATATCACTACCGTTAGGTCCCAAGTTAGGAGAATTGTTAAGTGCTTACGTGACACTCTTGTCGTATTTTTTTATGACATGAAAAATCTCAAATTAATGATGTGGCATTCATGATCAAATTAGTCTCTCTTATCCTTCCCCTCTCTCAAGCAAGAGAAAAGTCTTGTCAATTTTAGTCTAGTCTTATAGTGGCATTATCTCCATGTCTTGTTAAACAATGTCAATTTAGCTATATACAAAACTATATCAAGACAAAAAAGTGGCATTATCTCCATGTCTTGTTAAACAATATCAATTCAGCTATATACAAAACTATTTCAAGACAAAAGATTTCGAAAACAAAGAAGAACAGACAATTCTGAAATGGTTGTCTTCAATCATTTGAAGTGTAGTTTAACAAAGTAATACATTCAAGCTCAGTTCAACAAAGTAAACAAAATAAGTGCATGCCAATGGTTTGGTTACATTTGAAAAACATGACCTGCAATTGGCCTTAGAGAAAAAGTAAACAAAATGTCAAAAACGTATGCCAAAAACTCAAATGTAACTGCACTTGTTACTGAGGCCTTGAAGCCCTCTTGGCTCATTTTCCTTGGACACCAGAACCTTTTGTCTTTGTAAAGGCAATTGGGAATCCTGAAGCTTGGCTTGCCTAAAATAAAAGCACACATTTAATCAATAGCTATGCAAACCATCCTTAAATTGAATAAAGCAATTCAATTCCAAGCCCGCTGTCTGAGTTCCAACATAATTTTGAAGCATTGTGGAGCCCGTGTTAGATGATCCTGGATTATTCGAAGATCGTGGATCATAATAGATCAGTAAACAATGCATGACAGAAAGAAGAAGAAAAAATACTTAGTAAAATTAATTGGGAACTTAAAAAAATAATGGCACTCGTATTGTTTGAACTACTTTGACCAACATGCTCAGCTTGTTAGGTTCGTTTCCAACCCTTTGGTGGTCTTCCCCTACGCTTGGGCACTGGATTTTCTTTTGGGGGTAGATTTGTGGGGCGAGTTGCCTTGTTATGCCCGACTTGGCCAAACCTTACATGTCATTGTCATCCTTTTTCTCTCAAGCTTGTACTTTCCTTTTTTTATCTGTCTTTTCATCAGCTCCCTCTTCCTCAGTTTTCTTGGCCTACCAGGTTTTCTAGTGTAACTGTGTGGGACTAACAGTGGATGATCAGTTCTCTACCATAACTCTTGGCCATTAATTGGTTGTAGGATGTTCTCATAGCACCTCATATATGTCTCCTTAGAATATATTGAACTAACAAACTCCTCAACTTGCTTCTTCCCTAAGTAGTGCATTGCTACTATACCATGGACGCACGGAAAGCCTTTAAGATCCCACCCTCTGCAAGTGTAAGTATGAAAATCTAAATCAACAATATATTGTTCACCTTTTCCTTTCAAATCTTGCAATTTCTCAAAAATAATAGGACAAATTTCATGAGGCCATTTTCTCATTTTGTCATTTCTGACTTGAATCCTTCTCATAAGCAAACATTGAATCATCTGTAGCAATGTGAGAATTGGCTTGTCCCTAACTTTCTTAATGGTATTGTTGATTGACTCGCATAAGTTGTTCATAAGCATGTCACGCTGCAGGTAGGTGCTGGAGTGCGATCCAGAGCATTGTGGAAACTAACCATTCCCAAGCACCCTTGTTTAACCTCTTAAGTTCAGTCCATATGTTTACCAAAACTTGGCACAGTGGTGGATTTTGCAGAAGCCCAAAAATAGTCGCTCAATGCCTTGCCTTAAAAGACTACTGAAATTAGTTACTAGATGCTTAGCACAAAATCTACGCTCACTGTTAGAGATCACATCTTGAAATGCACCAGGAAACCTTTTTTGTTTGTCAGAAATGAAGTCATCCATGTGAATTAACAATACCAACATCTTGCGCCAACAACTCAAGGAACCATGTCCATGAGTCCCTACTTTAAGATGGCAGCCATCTAAGCCTACAGTGTCATAAATTTGGAACGAGCTTGGTCAATTTCACCATTTTTACATTTTATTTGAATAGTTGAACTTGCATTAGTCCTCCTAACCTCCTCAGCATAGCCCCACAACCTCTTGTTTTGTGAAGCCAGATTGCGTTCTATAATTTCTAATGCTTTCCTTTTTGCTGTATATGCCTTCATGAGAGACACTCCCACAGTGTAATCCTTGTCCATAACATCTGCTATAGAATGGGAGGGATATGAGGAGTCGATTGAATTCTATCCAAATATTTATTGGCCAACCAATTAGCAATGCACTTCTTGTTTTTATAACTCTTGCACAACAATGTTCAGGGCAATATTCTTTAACTTGCGAAGTCTTATCAATTGAGCTCCGCTTTGCAACATATATGTAGGTGCAATGTTCTCCTGTGCAAAGTACCTTTAACTTTGGCCTCTCATTTTTTTTATATTAATTACCTTTCCTAGTTAATAGTGAATATTGTGCGATGGCCTTTTCTGAATGCTTTGCAATCACTAAACAGCATGCCAATCTCAACATATGGATTGTCCAAGTCTGTGTTCTCATTAAATTCTTACCACGTCTCTTCATCATTCTTCACTATCATTGTATCTATGTGTCACTAGATCTTCCATCTGGTCGCTATCGTCAACCTCACAAACAATTACTCGTTCGCACTTGCCATTTGTTTCCTCTTCCTGTGGCTGTCCAGCCCATTCTTAGTCTCTAAAGTCAACAAACTTATTCACTAAAGTCAACAAATTCCTCAAATTGTAGATCATACTCATGCATGGCATAATCACTTTCCACAAACTCCAAATCACTAGAGTTGTATTGCTCTGATTCTTTAGATGAGTTATAAATCATAAGTTGCTTACCACGTAATCTAGCACTCTTCCTTGTACCCATACTAGCTTTTCCCACATCCACAAGTTCTCCAAAGTTACCACTTTCATCTTCTCTAATAATCTAAATTTCTTCATTCACATTAGGGTTCTGTACATTCATATTGCCTTCTCCATCATTAGCGATTTCTTCATTAACATAGTCACTTTCACATGTAACTTCATCACTAGTGTCACCTTTAACATCAACATTATTTCCCAACTTAGGTGGGTGAACAACAAAGCAACTTCTTCAAATTGATATACGTGGAGGTGATCTAAGAATATGTCTAAGTCTTCTGCAGAAGCAATCAGGTCACACATACACACCACATCGAAATCTTCCTTAAGGCACCGTCGACACCCTCCCATGAAAGCTTGTAAAGGTAATTAGTCTTCCCACTAAGGCCTAATTCCAATACCATTGCTTCAATTTCTTTTATCGACATCATATCTTTATCACAACAGTCAAAGAAATTTAGATTCCCATTGGCATAGTACCAAACATTGAACCACCATGATACATTCTTATTGTGAAATGTGCTGGATCACCTAAAAACAACAATAATATATAAACATATTGATCATTTAATCAAGGAATAAACTATAAAAATAAATTGACCCATACATATGTTTTCTTGAATACGAAATACAGACAAGACAACAATATTACCTAAATATATTTACCACTACACCCACACCACACATACACCACCAACAACATTCACTTCTCCAAACTCCATGACTGTCTTTAATTTATTAAAAATTGATAGCCACACTCAGTACCAACAAACAAATTGAAACAAAATCAAGTTGCTAAACCCCTTTATATTTAACATCAACATGAACGATAATATTTCTACTCTGTAAATATAGGGAGGCGTAGAAATATAACCTAAACCCTGATACTTATTGTAACGTGGCCACATCCTCCCTTCGATACGAAATCTCCAAGCCATGGCACCAGGATTGTTTTTTTAAAGATGCAATCCTAACTTTGTCGTTTTAGAAGAAAGAGAAGTTTGGGTTTTGAAGAAATATTTTGAGGCCTATTTAATAGGAAGAAATCCACTTAGGTTTGGAAATTATTATACTTTTCAATAAAAGAAAATATGACCAAGAATGCCACGTAAGCACTTAACAGTTGTTTTAACTTGAGACTTAACAGAAGTGATATTTCCTATACGTTGGATACTCTTTTAGAATGTTTGAAAAGGTTCGGACTAATTTGGAATCACATCCAAAAGGTTAGAGAGTTTTAGATACTCAATCCTTTTAATTATTTTATTAATTAGTTTCCAACCTTGTCACCTGTTAACCATACCGTATCAAAAATAGTTTATCAAGTTTGGAATTATCATAATTATCTTGGTGAACAACGGGCTCACTTCATGGTGATGGGTTGG